CAAAGCGGATTGATTTTTTCAAACTAATAAAAGCCGGTGAAGCTGCTGGTTTATCTTTGTCTCTTTCAATACAGAATGCTAGTCACAGATGAAGGGAAAAGGGGCCACTTCTCTCCCCTCCAGGTACAGTAAGCCAGTTATCTCAAACTGGATATGAAGAGAGAGACCTATTTCTTAAACAGACAGTTCCTCTTTAATGGGGGGGGGGGAATAAAATGCACTTCTACGACTGCAGAAGATGGCAGGGAAGGAAGTGGTTGAAAGCGCCAGGCGCCCGACTGGCCACTGATGTGCCCGAATGTCTGCAGGGGACGGAGGGGACCAGCAGAGCAAGCTGCACATAGACTCTGCCACGTTACATGAATGGATGGTCCAGCCCCACGGTTTGGCCTTTTGATGCAATACGCACGACAGCAAAAGGCCTCCACATAATCAAGGAAACGGACATGTACATGCATGCATACACATAAAAACAGTGACTGTGATTGTTCCGTAGAGATTAAAAAACCAAACTGCCTCCTGCCCCCCCTTTGTGCCCAGCCTCCTTCCTTCCTTCTGGCTGGCTTGGGAGGAGGACACTGCCGCCGCCACCGGTTCCTTGGAAGGGAAGCTCTCTCTCACTGGTGCTCCTGGCAGCTACCACGTGTCCGGCACATCGAAGAGCCTGGCGGGAGGGGACTTGAGCCCCCCTAGAGAAGCACAACACAACCACACAGCTGAACAAACACAAAACCCAACCCGTTCAGGCCAAAGTCTCTCCATGCTGGCTGGGATGATTCCCAGGCCAGCAACCGTCTTGCCCCCCACTCCCCCTGCGCAGCTCCCTTGGGTACTCAGAGGAGGGGGCAGAATCTGAGCAGCCTCAGCAGCTCCCTTTGGTGTGCTTTGAGAACCCCAATGCTGGGCAAAATAAAGACAACTGGGGTGCAGCCACCTCCTCTGCCATGTTCTTTTACCAGTTGTTCAAAGTTGCCAGATAATGTAGAAAACCAGAAACGGGTGGTTTCCCCTTACGCCAGGCCTGCCGGTCAGCAAACGGGCCGAGGACGCCCACAGCTGTCAGATCAAGCACCCGACGCAGACCACCTACCGTCCACCGTTTGCTCCCTCTTGCCCTTTTTGAGCTTCTTGGCTTGCTGCTTCTCTTCTCCGGGGGTCTCCTGGAAGGGGCCTGGGGTGGCCAGGTCCCCCTCTTGCACTGTGACCTCCTCCGGGTCATCCGTGATGCTTTCCTCTTGGATGGGGCTCATGCTTCTCTTCCCCACAGAGCTGGGGGTTGAAAAGCTGGGGTAGTGGAAGAAGCCCGAAAGGGAGATATTTTAGTCCTCCAGAGGTCGGTGGGGCCTTTCCTAGAAGTCTTGCAAGGGAGGAGGAGGAGGAATGCTATCCCGCCCTGCCCTGCCTTCCTCCCTAAGGCCGCCTGCAGCTCTTCTCAGAAGGACCAACCGGTTCTCCGGCCGTCCTGGTTACTAGCTGGCACGATCCTGGTTTGTGTCACACAACAGCTGCCTAACCTGGCTCTCCTTCAAGCCGGACTGGCCACTGCACCGGCCCCGGTCGGTCATCCAAGCTGGTGCCGGTGTCCCCTTGGAAGGGGCAGGCCTGCCATGGACACACTCACTCTTTGGCTAAGCCCCAACCGCAGCCATCTTTCTTGTGCCAGTTCAACACGGCGATGCTTCAAGTTCCTATCTAGCCCTTAAAATGTCACCCTGGCGGAGGAGGAGCACACCTGAGAGCTGCTCCTTCCCCTGCATCTTCAAACTCTTCGGCTGTTAGCAGGACAGGACTGGCCCTATTAGGCCCCTCATGGGGCAACGGGGCTACCATCTGGCACCCATGTGACCAGACTCCTCTGCCCTCTCACACTCGGAAGGGAAGGAGGGAGGCCGGCACCCGGCTTTTGGCGCAGACTCCTTTCCCCGGGTTGAACTCTCCCCAGGAGGCAACTGGGCTTCGTGCTTTCCCAGCTGAACCGGCTCTGCAGGAGTCACCGAACCGAGTCACTTTCCTGCCCCTGAAACCCGCCTGGTGCAGAACTGGCCGGGGGCCCCCGACCTGCCTCACCTGCAAACGCTGTAATAACGGCTTTGGGGAGCGAAGGGGCTGGCCTGCGTCTTTAAGCGCTTGACTTCCATCTCCTTCCAACTGTCTTCTGCCCATTTCCTCTTCGCCTGCCTTCTCTCCTCCTGCTTCTTTTCAATATATTCTGCGTAAGTCTGAATCCGGTAACTTTCAGCATACTTGCTGGTGTTAACAGCTGTGGAAAGAGTTCAGTACAAAGCCACTCCGAAGGGAACCCTCCCCAGGGCAGCTTCCAATCTTCCCGGCCCAAAGAGCTGAAGGGAGGGACACCCCTCCGCTTCCTCTTCCAGGGAGGAAGCAGGGGAGCCTAACCAGGATGCCTGATGAAGGAAGACCACCAGAAAGAGAAACAGTGGAGAAGGGGCTAAAGATGTAGGGAAGGTCTTGAAACATTCAGAGCGTTAGCAGATATTTAATAAAAATAACCAGCCACGAAGGCTACTTTTCAAGGTTCTATGGGACTCACCAATCTGTACTTGTCCAGGCTGACTCAAGGATACAAATGCTGATGTATCGTCAATCCAACACACGTGAATGTTTCCTAAAATTGGAAGGGGGATGTAAACTCTATTCTGATCAGATCTGTCCAAGCATAGTGAAGATGACCCCATGTGGAACAGGGGCAGCAGCTCCCATCCTGGAGGGAGAAGGAGGCTGATGCCCCTGAAGCAGGGAGGGCCAGAGGGAAGAGCGACACCCCCCCCCCCTCCACAGGGACGTGTCTAGGGAGGGGCGGAGGCTTTGCGGACTTCTCCTGCCTGAAAGGGACCCACAAACCCCATTTACTCTCCAGCCACCAATGCAAGGACCCTTTGCTTTTAGCCTTCCATTTTGGCCGGCCTCCCAGAAGCCCTGCGGCCAAATCCAGCTGCCCTTTTGTAAGGATTTGTCCCTGGAAGGGCTCTACTTACCAAAAGCACTGAAGAGCTGGTAAAGGTCGCTTGTCTTCCACTCTTTGGGAAAGGTAACATAAAGGACGTGATCACGTTTTGGCTGTACTACAAAACCAGAAGAACCTGATATGAGCTTTGGGAGGGATTTATATTTTTGGTGAGATCTGCTGCATTCACCCCTGACACACCCAGGAGCCAAAGTCAAGTAGCTAAGATCCATGCGAGATTTCCCCCACTGGGCTACCACACAGAAAGACCCCTCTGGGGACGGCAGACTTAAATCCAGAGGCAGACCTGGATCGGCTCATGCGCATTTTACCCAACCTTTCCTCCTTCCCAACATTCAGTGGATTCCTCCTTTTACTGCAACTCAGTCCCCACTAAAGAGGAAAACGTTTCTCACAGGTTGCTGCAGAACCAAAAAGGTGTGAACCATCCCACTATTTTGACGCTCTTAAAGATGGGGGGGAACACTTACAATCTGGTCCTTCCAAATTGAGATATGGAATGTCCATCACCCTCATCAGAAATAATCTGAAGCAAAAGTTAGAGAGTCACTTGGATGTTACACGGGGCAAGAGCATAAATCAAGGGCATAAATCTACACAAAGGGAAAGATGTCTTTGTCTCCGCTTATCTAGTTAGCTCCATAAAAAGCTAGCAAAAGGGCACCTCTAAACTACCTGGCAAAGTCAGGGGGATGCTAGCCTCCCGGAAGTTGCGCCCTGGTGGTCTCAGCCGAAGGCAGCAACTTGCACTAAATGGCGGGGCAAGAAAACCTTTCTAGCAAACAGGTTGGCGCTGCTCTAAATGCCAAAGCTCTAAACTACAACACAAACCCCACTGAAAAAGTCACAGCAGAATTTCAGAAAGCAGCAGGATCCTTTTCAAGGATGCTTGTTACTCACTTGTTGAAAAAAGGCTCGATCAGCTTTGAACCGGTAGAAACGTGATTTGCGGGAGGGTTGAGAAATGAACCTAATGAGCAAAGGATATGACAAAAATCACCGCGATGGGCCGAGTGGAGGCCGCGGCGCAATGGGCGGAGGTTAGAGTACCTAAGAAGTTTGCCATGGAGATGAAGCAGAGGCCCGTGATGTAGGCATCGTAACCAGCTTCATGGAGCTGCTCTGAAGCCGTGTTGTAGCTGGGAAACCCCTTGGCGCTTTCTGAGGAAGGAAAGGATGCTTTTACTCAAAGTCACCTGGGTGGGAGGAGGAGGAGGAACGCTTGAGTCCAGGCAGAGACTGCTTGAGGTGCCCCGTTTCCTCCCAGAGACTGTTTTGCTGACCCCACCCAGCAGGCCCAAGAAAGTCTTTATTCTGCCTCTGATCAAAAAGTAGCTCTAATTCCAGCCTTTTTCATCCAGCTACGGGTTCAAAACTGCTACTAGTTTTGTGTGTTTCTGAAGGCCAGACCTAAACTCCCCACCCAAATTATATAGAAATGCTAGAGAGAATCCAGTAAATTTCTCCCCACCAAAGCGAAAGGACATTTTAAAATGCTCACTTGCCACGTCTACTAAAAGCCAGATTTCAGCTGCTCTTTGTTGCCTTACCAACTCTTGGAGGGCTGAAGGGCGTCTCCTTCAAACGCTTTTCCAACTCTGCCAGGGATGTGTTCTTAATGATTTCCTGAGAAGAGAAGAGAGCATGAGGCATCTCTGATGCAAGCTGATGTCAGCTCTCTCTCTCTCTCTCTCTCTCACACACACACACACACACACACAAGCTGTACATGGATGTTTCCCAAAACCTTGGGACTCCTTGGAAAGACCACAGTGGTTGCAAAGTCTTTTTAGAAGTCAAAACAGAGTTTGAGAGTTTTAAAACCAGCACCATCTCAGAAGTTTTACATTGTGCTACAGTCCACTAATGTAGTTTGGGCCATGATTATCAATACCAACTGATAACAAGAAAGCAAGATGATGATGAAATCTCTTCTAATGTTTTCACCAATGTCTTAAACTTTGGGAATTAACCAAAATATACATCCACTTGTGAGCCCCATGTGAAACACTTCCAAGGCAAGCTCACCGGTATTATTCTTGCCTTCACTCGAATTAGCAAAGACAACTAGAGGCCCCCGATGGCCAGAGGAACTGCTCCAACTGAGCAACAGGTAGGACTGGCCATGTCAGGGGCA